ATGTATCTATGAATAACGTCTTATAGCATAATTTTACAACAATACAATATATAAATTTTAAAAATTTAAAATTAACGTTTATTTAATATTTAGATGATTGCTGCTACTTCGACTTACATGGCAATTGCTAATAGAATTCCTGATGCAAATAAATGTCTCTTGAAAGTCTCTTTGGTAGGAGTTCCTCAGAAAATGCCATTGAAATTAAAGACACAGGAGAATCTGTTATCGAAATGCTTATATCAGACTATATTAGTCAACCCCATAATTACACTGTCAAGGTGGTCTTTTCGCATGATAAATTCCGATTCAAACATTTTAAAACAACAATTTGCCCACAAGAGTCAATAATTTTCATAGTTGGACAAATGGAAATTATAGCTAATAAATTATATGTTTATGCTAATGATATCAATTTTATCAATACTCATTTTATTACTAAAAAAAAGGAACTTTCTGATACTGAATTACCTTCGACTAATCCAATTCCAAATCCAACACGATATAAACTTCTTAATGTTTATCAAACTATAACTCAAAATTCAGAAGTTGATTCTGAAAACAATCTTCTTTCATTGAAATGCAAACGATCTAATGAAAATGTTAAACCAGAAAACACTAATCCTACTACCGATAATGATATTGAAGATTGTCAATCAAATTCAGATAATTCCATTCATACAGATCAAAAATCCGAAACTAATAATGCAACTAAAGATTGTAACAAAAATAATATTCATCTAACTCGAATTATACGCAGTTATAAAAAAACAACTGTAATTTCTGATGAAGAATAATTGTTACCCGATAGTCAGTAATACATATATATGTATTATACTATTAAATTTCTTATATTTTTTATACTTTATTTCTTTATTATTATATTAAAATATCATTTATTTATCACTGTAAATGTTAAAAACCAACAATAAAATTTGTAGAAATACTTATCGCTTTAAATTTTACATAAGTTCAAAAATCTTATCGTTACATGTTTTAACCATAATCATCTCTAATATTATAAATCAGAAAATTATCATAACAATATAATTAACTTAAAATTAATATAATACAA